GCAAAGGGTGATGGCCACGGGGAAGAAGGGAGCCTCCCGAATTGCACAGATGGCCTCCCAAATTGCACAGATGTAGGTGCAACACTGCAGAGCCTGCCAAAGAAGTGAGGTCACTTCCTGCCGTGGCTTTCTGTGGCGTGGATCCCTCCTCGAGCTGAGCAAGAGGGAAGGAGGCTGCGCCGAGCTGGCGGGGTCTGCAATGGAAAGCTTTTCGTGCCAAGGTGTTGGGGGGGGGGAATGGAGCCATTTGAAACAACATGCAAAATGTGTTTAGGGTTGGGATGGGGGTGAGGGTGAAGGCACTGGAAGGAGCCTGGCTGTTTAAAACCCCTATGGTCGTAGCCTAGTTTTGCCTATTTCTATATCAGGCCTTGGGATAGTTTCTTTTGCATTACATTTCCCAGGCACCGCCAGCTAACCCTTGCCCTAAAACAATTTTTCTAAGCTCTGGAAGTGTTGTTGTTGTTGTTGTCGTCGTCGTCACATTTCTTACTTACCTCTCCCCACAGATCAAGGTGGAGAATAACAGACCGACAAATATGCATCAGTTAAGCAACATCAGTTAACATCAGTTAGTACTTCAATTTAAAAGAACAAATAAGACACTTCCATATTAAAACAATCCACATTTAGAATTCATCATTTAAAATTAGTCTTCAATTCTTTTTTAAATTTGGACAGTGTATCCAGCTATTGAATCTCTTCTGGCAGATCATTCCACAGTCCAGAGGCGGCAGAAGAAAAAATACTCTGGTTGAAAGTCATCAACCTAGTCCTGGTTGACGGGAGTAGATGTCTGCCAGAGGACTTGAGTATGCAGGGCAGATTATATGGGAAGAGGCAATCCTGTAGGTATGGTGTAAACTTCCAAATAACATTGAAGTTAAAGAGAGCCAGGGACCAGGTTCAAATGGCCATGGCCATGGAAACCCACTGAGTGACCTTGGATGAGTTACGCTCTTGCAGTCTCAGAGTAAGACAAAGGCAAACCCCCTCTGAATAACTCTTGCCAAGAAAACCCCATGATAGGCTCATTTTAGGATTGCCATAAGTCCAAAACTACTTGAAGGCACACAACAACCACAAAAGAGCTTAGCTGTGGATTTTTATTTCAAGCTTTGCACTCTTGATGTTCCATATATAATTTGTTGCAAATAGAGGGGTATTCCTAAGGCATTAATGCCTCCACACAGACCCTTTGGATGGAGAACCTGAATTATACTTAATTTCCCTCTAGAGATTCATATTCTTTCATATAAATAAATATTTCCAGTTGCCCACTGCCTAGCATTACAGTGCAGGTTTGTTTTGAAAGGCTCAGGGCACAATCGAGCCAAAGTTTTCTAAAGCCTCCATGAATTTAATGGGTAAAGAGTTAAGTGCCCATTTAATTCTCATACTCTTATAACTCAGTATTTAAGATGAGGGGAACGCTTTCCATGCCACATACTATGCCAACAC